TACAGGTACTGATAGAATTTTTCAACGTAGTCTGTTTCATTTCTGAATCCTTGACGCAATGACTTCTTGGGACCTTCTTTTCGAGATGGCCTTTCATGTTTTCTGTTCGGGAAGCACTATGCACGAATACTAGTTTCTACTATTGAAAGGAGTCGCTAAAATTTTTGCTTTTCTTGCAGATCGTCGCAGCGCCAAATTCAGATCGACTCCTTATCGCAGCCGCTAAGGATCTCGAAGAAGGTTTTGGTGGATGGGTACCAGCTGGACCGCTCTGATATCATCAAGTAGAAGTGTATAGTCCAAGGTCCCCTCTTAACAAAGTCTTTTAGCTGTTCTTAGTGATAAGAGCAGTAGAGTACATTTTGCATTTTGAATCAAACATACGTGTAGTTGACGCTGTATATGAAATGCTTGTAATTATTACATACTCACTACTTCTTGGTTGAGAAGTATCTAAAAAAGAGACCGATGTGATGACGGTTTCTTATCTGCGGGCATATTCTAGTTCGAGTGATTCGATAAACGTTTTTATTCATGTAGAGACAGTCTATGGAATCCGGTTTCGTACTGTTTCGTCACATTTTGTTCCTGTTGAGTGTGTATGGAAGTTTTCTACCCACTGACAACATTGTGAACTACGCCATCATAACATTTTCAACGATATTCGAGAATTCCAACAAATACACTAGAAACCTCAACAAGGAGCACTTTTGAGCTAAAATCTTGAATGTGAGGCCCACTCAAGGCTCTGATCACAAATATGAGTTTCGCATTTGTTGCCGGTGCCATATGGCGCCAATTTGGCGCTGACCCCCTTTACTTACCAGAATCGAAAGAAATTTGTATACTAGATTTTTCTGGCGTCCTGTCGCGAATGTATCATTGCTTTCAGCAACGGCGCCATTCGGCATAAACGGGAAGACGGGCAAGAGAATCGTAAATCGCGCGCGGCAATGGGCGCGACGTTTCCTTAATTCGGACAATCCGACCGAAGCATCGGATTCCTTGTAGATAAGGACATGGTAGACATTTGTGGGTATTTTTCTCATACATTGTCTATCCTCGACGGGAGACGGGCAAGAGGATCGTATTTTGCCGCTCCGCCGTGCGCGGCGATGGGCGCGGCGTTTTCTAACTCGTGTTAACCTGTCGAATGAAGCACCGGACTTCATGTAGACCCGTCATCGTAGACATTCATGACTATTTTCGGTTCTGAATTGCCTGTTGTCGCCATCTACTACCTGGAACCATCGTCATTTGCGGGCGCGACGTCGCACGCGACGCTCACCGCGGAGAACGACGATCCTCTTGTCACATATCCATTCTCGACTAATACCACCTTGAATCATCGTCATTGGCAGGTGCGACATTGTACGCGACTCCCACCATCGCGGCAAATTACGATTCTCTTGCCACATACCAACCATAAACGCTAGTTTTGCGCCACAACCTGATCTCGTGTATTCCGAGCGATGGACGAAACTCCACACCGACGAGTCAACACACTTTGCTGAAGTGGGCGGAGCTTTTGCAAAGTAGGAGGGGCTACATGGTGTAGCTCAAGAGAGTGGAAAAATGGACCACTATTCACCTAAATCCGCGTGAAGTGGGCATGGCTAGGCGGGCGGAGCTTAGTGTGTGGGTTTTCAAGTGGCAGTCTGTGAGTAGGTCCGTTATAAAACTCGAGTAAATCCTAATATTGTGCACATAAAAGAGGCGCCAAAAATTTTATTGCAAAAAACAAAAGATCTAGGAGTGTTTCAATATTGCTTGTGCCTTACGAGGTTGTTAGGTGGAACATTTATTAATAAGGCCTAACGTTTCGACTTAATCGTCGTCTTCAGAGGCCTGAACGTGTTTCAAGTATTAGATTGCAACCTACACTATACCCCCCCCCCAACCATTGCCCAGTTTCACTTACTCCCCATTTCCTGGAGTTTTTCGGATATGTTTTGAGGGTTTTTGTCCCCGGCACCGTTCACTTCGGCGAACGCCCTGCCCATCGCGGGTGTGCTTCATTCATTCCGTCCGCCAACTGTTTGCCTATCGTTTCCCACATTTCCGCTCACTCAGAATCTTCTGGAACCGAATAACTCCAGGAAA